TATATGTTTTAGACTGTTTAAAAATATCCTGAAGTGGCCACTGATGTGCACAGTGCTTGTGAAAGCCTTTTATCTATCCAGTGTCTAAATAGTCGTCAGGTAATCAGAGGTACTGCTCATTATTTACAATGTGTGTTTTAACAGATTTCTAGTCCCTAGTGATCTAAATTCTGCAGTCGAAACCAGTATGAACTATGCTGTCCGTCATTGTCTTCTCAGTGAGGTGGAAAAAGCAGATAATTAGAGATCACAAGTCTGTTTTCAGAGACCTAAGGTTCTTAGAAGTTAAAAATGTAGCAAGTATTCGGATTATTTTTTTTCTCTCCAGTCTTCTTCTGGTACGACTTTTATTCAGTACAAAGCTTTGTTTCATGACTTAAACACAAATGACAAGAAAAACAGCAGCATAGAAGGATAACCTTTGAGACTAAGTGTAATTTGCAAATAGGGAGAAACTGAAATTGGGTTATAGCTGAAGAAATTGCTGTTTGCTTGAGCACAACAGAGAAGTCTTATTCATTGACTAATCTCTTTCATTCCATCATTAAAACAAATATAGTTTTTCTTGTATTAAAGTAGTGCTTCTGTGTGATAAGAAGCAGCATGAAATCAGGGCATTGAATTGTTCTGGAATCTGTCCAGATTTTGAAGACAGAGCTACAAGGTTATAAATTACTTACTTCTGCTTGAATATTTTTTTTTAAATATATATATTTGTTTTATTTTTTTGATTGCATTCAGGAATAGTCCTGTATACATTAAGCAAAGTAAGAGTTTAAAAATGTAATTTCGGCACTGATAGGTACTTATGTGGTGCTCCAGATGGTGGCAGTAAGAATAAAATGAGTGAGAAGCCATGAGTTACCTACAGCTCTAAATCTTTAGTTTTGTTTTTGAGACAAACATGCACAGTCGTAAACATAGTAAATATAATTACAAAAATATAAAAATACAATTACAAAATTATAATTACAAAAAGTATAATTAAAAACAAAGTAAATATAATTTCAGGACACCATTTTAAATATATTTTGGGTTGTTTGGGTTCTGCTGCACATTAAGGCAGTGTTTCTTAACTCTGAATATGCATGTAAAAAAGTTCTTCATCCCATCCTCCCCCAGTACCATAAAACACACCTGTGCCCCCTAATTAAGGACTCCTAGACCTAAATCCTTACCTCCCTGTTCTATGGGACTGCTTGTTACCCAAGCTTTGGCATATCAGTCCAATGCTTCACTGTGTCTGCTGTCACTGACCTACTATCACAGTCCGCCACGATCAGCCTCTGCTGTGTGTGCACTGACTGCTTGAGGGAGAAGAGACGTGGGGCTATTCCAGGGAAGAGCCTCCCTCCCAAACATGAAGGGAAAGTGTCTGCTGCAGCCAGTGAGCAGCTGAAGGATCTCACCACTGGCAGTACAATACTTTTTGTAGAGAAAACTGATCCAGAGCAAGTTCTAAGGCTAGACATCCAGGCTTAGTGTTCTTTCGAAAATACTGAGGACTGTCCAACTTACTCTTCTCACAGTTGCTTTCCCTTCCTTTAGTGGCCAGAAAGTTTCCGTCAGTTGCTTGTTTTCCTCTAGCTTTGGTGCTTTTAATGTTAGAAAAAAAAGCAAGCAACAAAGAGTATATAATGATGCAGGTGTTGTGTGTTTCGCCCGGTGAACTACTGAGACGCAACTTTCCACAAGCCTGTGTAAGCTCATTATCTCACTAGATTATAATGTTCTATTTCTGTATGTTTGAAATCTCTGTTATTTGGTGTACTTTCCAAGTGAAATCCGCAAAAACAATTTTTCATTCACTGTGAGTTTTAACTTCCAGACAGAACCTTGGTGAAAGTATACTTTATTTATGGGTGGAGAAGATACGAGAAGTTCTGATAGAAAAGGCACAGTCATCAGATCCAGGTACTTCAGAAAATACATGGGTTTTTCAGTTTAGTTCTTGTAATGAAATCTTGCTTTGCAGTTGAACAAGCTAAAGCTTTAAGTCCAGTTTTGTATTGGATCTAAATAACAGAAAACAACAGTCTTCAGTGTCATGGCTTATTGTTTTGCAGCAATAGCTTCCCTTTGTAAAAAGCAGTAGGGAAACAAAGGAAGGGAGTGGCCTTGGTAAACTAGAACAAGGTGCACAGTTCTCTCAGGAATTAAATTCCTTGCATGAAAGCAGAGCACACAGGTAAAATATGCAATGTCCTCTGTTCTGCAAAGGAATCATTCATACCAGTAATTAATTTCTGGTGTTGAGTGCGCTCTTGGAGAATTAAGGTTAGTCTCAAGAGAAGATGAACTTCAGTGGAATATGCAGACAAATGACCACGTATCCATCTTACTTGCATTTTACTGTATTGGGATGAGAAGTACATCATCACTACAGTTGCAGTGATTCTTGTGCTGTTACTCTTATAGTGATAGAGTTTGTGTAAATTCGCAGTTGTTCTTTCAAAAGGTTGTGGGTTTTTTGTGCATTGAAGTGCTAAGCTGCTATGAAATGCATGAGTGATGTGCATGCATACATTTCTGGCAAAAGGAAATGTAGATATTTTTCTATGTAGTGTATGTTAGATTAGTCCTGTGAGGAGAATAAAAGACTGAAGAGGAAAAAAAAAGTGTAGTTTCAGTGCTTCTTCATGATAAGGTCTAGTTTTAGTCTTTATATAAACTGCATTTTGTTGCTGCATCATAGAAATTTTAAGAGTAATTTTTCATTGACATGACTAAAGGAGTAGATGCTGAGAAGTGAAAATTTTACAGACAATATTAGAAGTTTGTTGGGTATTTTGACAGTAACCTTGTGGCTTCTACTTAATATATGTCATGTTTTTTCTGGGCCTTTTGAACCTGCTATATTACGCCTCTGCTTTTTACTGAAAATAACCTGTATTACAAAAACTGCATCATCACCACATCATACGCCCTCTAAATAGGAAATTAGATTATGATATATTAACTTGTCTGTATGGTTGATTCCCTCAAAGTCCAGTTGCCAGAGCACTAACTGTGTGTGATATTTACTCTTTTGCTATTGACTATTATTTTTTGTGTGTCCTATGCATGAAGGAAAATAGGATTTGAGGCATCCCAGAGTGCTTGAAACATGTCCAGAGAGATGTTCCAATATAATGATTCTATAACATCATTAAGTAGCATTGAATAACAGCTCTACGTTTTTCACCAAATGACCAGTGGATTACTGGAGTTCTTGTGAAATCATAGAATCATAGAATGGTTAGGGCTGGAAGGGACCTTCAAAGGTCATCTAGTCCAACCCCCCTGCAAGGAACAGGGAAATCACCAACTAGATCAGGTTGCTCAGGGCATCGTCCAACCTGGCCTTGAACATCTCCAGGGATGGAGCATCCACCACCTCTCTGGGCAACCTGTTCCAGTGTTCTACAACTCTCATGGTAAAAAATTTTTTCCTAATATCCAATCTGAATCTACCTCCCTCTATTTTAAAACCATTACCCCTTGTCCTATCACAACTGGCCCTCCTGAACAGCCTCTCCCCATCTTTCCTGTAGGCCCCCTTGAGGTACTGGAAGACCGCTATAAGGTCACCCCGGAGCCTCCTCTTCTCCAGGCTGAACAGCCCCAACTCTTTCAGCCTGTCCTCATAGGAAAGGTGCTCCAGCCCTCTTATCATCTTCGTGGCCCTCCTCTGGACCCTCTCCAACTGGTCCATGTCCTTCTTATGTTGGGGGCTCCAGAACTGGACGCAGTACTCCAGGTGAGGTCTCACGAGGGCAGAGTAGAGGGGAAGAATCACCTCTCTCGACCTGCTGGCCACGCTCCTCTTGATGCAGCCCAGGACGCGGTTGGCCTTCTGGGCCGCAAGAGCACATTGCCGACTCATATTGAGCTTCTCGTCCACCAGTACTCCCAAGTCCTTCTCCTCAGGGCTGCTCTCGATCCATTCTCCGCCCAGTCTGATTATTTTAGTCTCTAAATTCAGATTAAATTAATGGTAGCATTGTAAATGCTGAATTGAAACGGTAAACATTATTCTTCTTTTCTTCTTAGAAATAATGTTAATTAGTATTGAAATAGAAGATGTTATGTGAGAATTTCTTAGCACAAGTATTGTATTCCTAATTCTAAGCAAGATTGTAATTAATATTGGACTAAGGATTTTTGGGTTTTGTTGTAATTAATGTTACTATTCTGCATTTCTTAATTCTTAATGACAAACTGATTTGAACTGAAAAGCCAGAGATTTTGTAGAAGAAGAATTTGACATTTCATCTTACTTGTCTCACAAAAAGAAGTGTAATAAATTATACTACTTGTATCTTAATAGAACCAGATATTAAGAAAACCAGTGAAGAAGTTGATGAAGGTGATGGAGATGATTTTCTTCTAGACTATCAGCCTGTTCAGGAAGATCCAACTAAAATATTAAATTACATTACATCTGAAAGTCAAGAAGGTAAAAAATACGCTCTTGATAATTCTGATGGAATAATTTAGCAGGGAGAGGCCTTAAGATTCTGGTTTTCTGCTTAGCTTTTGAGTAAAATTAATATTATAATAAAGATAATAACATTCATAAAAAACCCTAACATATTTTTGGTGGTTCTGTATGTCATCTCGTGCACTTAACCTTAACAAATCCCTTTTTTAAAGTTGAGCCATTCCTTACTTATGTAGCTGTAAAAGTTGTTTCAGTACCCTTAAAAGAAAACAAACGCTTATTTGTGCTCAGTAGATGAAGAACTACCATCCATACATCATGGAAACCCAATCACAGATCGAAGGAGTACTTTCCAGGCACATCTGGCTCCTGTGGTGACACCCAGACAAGTTAGTAGAGATCAGTTCTACTCTTTTTGTCTGTACTTTGAGCTTTACAAAGTATTACTGGAATACTTGGGATCATCCAAATATGTCTGTCTGCCTGTCTTTGCATCTTTGTGTGCTAATATTGTCTGAGTAGTAGTCAGTTTCTCACTTGTGCTATCAGCTAAATAGCTCTAAATCTCAGCTGAGCAATGCTTCCTGGTAGTTTTCTAGTTTTATTGTTGGAAGTAGGTAGATACTGCTATTCTTTACCGTTAAGTGCATTAGATGTAAGACAGAGAATAAGAACATTGAAATTTGACTTTTGGATGTTGGTGAGTTTATCGTAAGATATTTGGAATCTACTGAGTATATCATGTGTTACTTGGAAAATGAATTAAAATGATTTTATAAATGTTTTCACTCCTTCAGAAAGGCATTATATTGAAAAATATGCTTGCATAAGTAACTCTTTATTGAGACCTAAGTGAGAGGGATAAGCACGCTTCCAGAGTTGTATTTGCCTACAGCTAGAAGAGATGTCTGCGCTAGTTCCTGTCTTTTACTGGAATCATTGGTGAATGTACACCTAGACAAAGTGCTAGAAAAAGGCAGCTACATTGTGTTTCCCATCGTGCTTCCCCTGTTTCAGCAGTTTAACACAAGGTAAAGAAAATATCCTCATGTTTAATATTACTGATTAATTTATTTTTTTTTAATCCTTTGTGGAATTTATCCTGTTGCTTCTTGCACCAGAATTAACTTCCAGAATCCACAGCATTGTATGAAAAAGTCCTCCTGTATTTGCTGCAAATCAGTCACTCATAAATTTGTTTGTTGCACCTCTCCACTTTCTCTGTGCAGTTGGATTTTATAGACATCTGTCATGTTTTATAGACTTTAGTTTTCTGTTTTCTGGGCTGAAGACCCTCCAGTCTATTTTGACATGTGTAATGTATGCTGTAACCTTTTTGAGATGCAGACTAGAACTGTACACACTGCCGAAGATGCAATCACTCCGAGGATTTCTAGAGTAATGTGAAGAGTTTTTCTGTTTTCCATACTCTTTTCCTAGTAATACCTTTCAGTTTACTTTTTTGACCTCGACTGAGCACTGAGCTGGTGTTTTCATAGAAATGTCTGTTATAACCCCAAGATCTCTTTTTGCAAATGCTAATAACTAGTTTGGAGTTACATCACTTTGCATCTATTGACATTGATCTCCTTTGATCCTGTTCAGCGGGGAAACTACTGATCTACTCATATTTGCTTGTCACTAACTGAGAGTTAATCCTTGAGAATATTTTCCTTTTTCCTTTTATCCAATTCTAGCTTTTATTTTAAGAATTTTTGTTAAGGGATCTTGTCAAATGCTTTTTGAAATTCTAGGTAAGCTAGGTATACTACATGCTCAGTGGCTCTGGAAGAATATTGACAGGGTTTTGAGGCATATTTCCCTATATAAAAGCTGTAACATTTTAAGTTGTCTGTGTTTTTTCAGGTTTTGCTTCATCCTCATTAGTTTACCTAGCATGAACATAAGACTTGTTGGTCTTTAGTTTCCTGCGTCCTTCCTGTAGTACTTTTGAGATACTGGTATTTCATCAGTCACCTTCTGCTGCAGAAACGGTTTTAACCGGTAGATTAGATACTTTAGCTATAGTTGAATGGCTTCATGCTCCAATTCCCTTTAAACTTTTACATAAATATGATCTGGATTTGCTGATTTGTTTCTATTCATTTTATCAGCTTGCTCAACCTTATTCTGTGGTAAGGCTCCACTGTGTCATCCTTGCCTGACCTTTTAAGTTCATATATGCTGTATATTCATTTAGATTTTTGTGCTACAACTGTATCTTCTGTAAGTGATTCTTTTATATAAATTACATTTATCTGCTGGCAGTACAGATCTCTGGTAAGCTTCAGCTTCTTATGTGTTTGAGAAACAAAATAATTATTTTCACATTTACACCTTCAAAATGTGCTGTGCTTTTCACATATATCTTGTTATCTATCTTATTTTTCTCTATCTGGATAAAACTTGGACTTTTTTGAACACGCTTTCAGCTTTTTTGAGCTATTATTTTACTGCTTCCAAAGCGAAAGTAATTTTATTCATTAGGTTCATGGGGAATAACTCAGTGTTTTAAAATACTCAGTACATATTACCATTTTCTTTAAAGTAGCACTGCACTTCAGGGGCTTTCTTAGCTGTGATCTGTCTCTGTGAACTGTGAGTCCCTGTGAACTGTGCTGCTTTAGAAAGGGAAAAAATTGGAATCATTTGCTTTAATGTCCTTTTCTCATATAAAAAAAAATCTCGCTCTTTGATCGTGATTTTTGAACAAGAGTGTTCCTACTTATGAGGAAGTCTGTACCCACAGACATGGGTTTCCAAAAGTGCAGGTCTGTATCAAGAAATAATACTTAAAGCAGATTAATAATTTCCCTTTTACATGCAAAGACATTATTTCTTCTTTTTTTAAAGACAATATAGAATCATAGAATGTTTAGTGTTGGAAGG